GGCTACAGCCCCGCGTCTGGGCGCTCTTCGAGGACCCCTACTCCTCGCGGGCCGCCAGGGTAAGCGCCGTCGGACGGCGCTCCCAGAGCCCGCTGGGGCGTGCACGTCGTGGTCCCCTGTGTGGGAGGGGAAGCTCGCCCCTCGTGGGGTGGGTGAGTGTGTGGGCGTGAGGAGCTGATGCTTTGGTGGGCTGTTCGTGTGGGATTGACATTTGCCCCCGTTGGGCCGTGGTGCTCGTCCTCTCTGCATCTGCAGGCAGCGTTAGGCGTTGAGGGGGTCCTGCTGTGCCGCTGTCCCACCGCGGGAGTGCACAGGGTGGGAGCTGTTCCCTGAGCAGCAGCCTGTGAGGGAGCCACGCTTGCCCCCCTGGCCTGGGGCTGTGTGAAGGTGCTGCTGTCTGGGTGAGTCGTCTGTGTGTGGGAGCTGGAACAGCCCCAGAGTGCCCTCGTCCTTTTTGAGGGCTCACAAGGAGGGAGATGCCTCTGGTGCTGGGGCAGCTGGCCCTACTGGGGGGCCATAATTTCTCCCACAGCTGTCAGAGTTCTTGGGTTTGGGGTGAAGTGGTGACAGGGGTGCAGGAGAGCGAGCCAGCCCTTTCTCGGCTTCGCTCTGTCTGCACGGGGAGGTGATCTGAGTTCAACAAAGTAAGTGTGACAGAGGGTCACCCTGGCTCTCTCCCTCCATTGATTTCTCAATGTGACCCTCACAGTCTCTCTGGCTGAGGGTATGGGTATGAGGCAGTAAATGATCCTGCTCAGTTTCTGTTATTTAGATAGGGATTTTTGGATTTTGACTCTGACTGCTTTTTGCTTTGGAATACGATGTGGATTTTAGTTCTGTCTTTCAGTGCTGTTGTTAGTGGTGATGGGGGTTCACGTTCTAACTCCAGGGCTGTGGGGCAAATTGTTGTCATTCCTGTGAGAGAAACAGACAGTGATGCCTCAAATTTAATAGTGAGAAAAGCAACCATCAGCAAATCCTGTCTGAGATTCAAGAAGAAGAAGAACATGTAATTGGAAATGTATTATTTAAAAAATATGGTAATTGTTTTGCAACATATTTACTAGGATTTCCAGTGAAGCATTCAGAGCTAAACCTCATCCTGAAAAACTGCGGTTATGGTGCATATCATCTCAACATCAGTCCTACTGATTTCACTGGCAACCTCATAGATATGGCCATAAGCGTGTGGTTAAGTGATATCTGAGTTGTACCCTCTGGCCTGACGCAGTCTCTGTGAAAGTTAGCAACTCCTATGAGTTTAGGGAGGTAAGTTAAACAGAAAGTAAAATTCCTCGTAGTTATTACTGTCACTTGCTGAGTGCCAGAGCTGTTTGTTTTTGAAGGTTGCCCACCACTTTGTTTTCCCTTGACAGCTGGTTCCAGCTGATATTTGAAATACGTTTTTAACACGGGATTGGATCTGAAGAAAAGCTACCCAAGGTGTCTGTCTTTGCTTATCAATGACATACCCACGTTGCTCTCGTCTCAGCTTTGTGAAACCTAAAGAAAGTTTAGCTGTCAGTTGCCTGGCAAAACTGTAGTGAGTGTGGTGTTTGCCCTGCAGGTTGTCTTTCACCTACTGTTTTGTGGAAAGTTGCTGACAGTGTAAAGTCTACAGCTTTTACAGCAGGGAGTCTCTCCACTGAACTTTGCTGGAGAACTGAGGAGTACAGAGTAAGAGTTAAATGGAAGATACTAGGAAAAATCAGAAGGTAGGCATGCTGAATGCAATTGTGCCCTGGCGTTGTAGCTGTTGCTTGGGTTTTCAGTCCACTTTGGTCCACTCATGGACAGAATCTGTAGGCACTTGCTTTCCAGATTTTCTGTCTGTACTAGACCATCCTGAAAGATCAGTGGCTTGGGTAAAGATACTTCAAGTTTGCAAAATGAATGCCTTAATTAACACTATGATAGAAAATTGTAGCATGGCAATGTTAATCCCTTAGAAGATAAGAGATTTATCTTATAAACTGCTATTAAATATTATGTTTTGGTTTCAAGCCCAGGCAGTGTCAAAGATGTAGCAGCAGTGTCTAAATCAGTGTTTTCATTTTCTTCAAGGCTGCTGCTATGTAGCTTGATTTTCCAGGTAGGGAGACAACTTTGAGAATTGCTAGCAGGTTTTAAAGCATTAAGTAAATTTGTATTTAAGGACTAGCATGCACTTAGTAAGCACTCTTAAAAACAGTAATTTAAGGAGGTGGTAGCCTTAGTTTGGAACTGAGACATTACTGTCAAGTCAACATTTTCCCACACCTGAAACAAAGATTATATTTTGAGTATTCTGGCAAATACACTTTTGTTTTGTGTCAGCTGAAATGATGACTAACTCTAAAAACATTTGGGTGAAATCCTGGTCTTACTGAAATCAAGACAAAGCTCTATGAACATCAATCTTTGCCTCATAGTGTTAGCTACTGACTCATACACCACTAAGATTATAGTGAGGTTGCTTAGTGGTAAACTTTCTTAATAGCTGTGGTAATTCTTTTTTTTAGCATCACTGTCTGATTTAACTTCAGCAGTATCTTTTCTGGGCAGTATGGTGATGATAAAAATGGGATATTTTATATTAATGAAATGGTACTTAATATTTGCGTTGTTTTTTTTTTTAATCCTAAACTGTGATCTCTAAAAATAGAAATTTATAGAAATTCAAATATAAGTTGCCATGGTAACCTATTGGGGGATAGTGCACGCACAAGATTATTCTAACAAGACCATCCAGTCATGTTACATAAATGGTGAAACTAGTATGTTAAGAGGAAGGTTTACTTCATTTAAGATTCTAAAAAAAAATTTGAACTTCTGGTGTATGCTGTGTGATTTTCAGATAGTGACATCTACTAAACATGGCTTTTGTAAATATAAAATGTAATCCATGTACGTACAATTGCTTTGAAACCTGCAACATTTTTCTTTGTTTCTCAAGTTTAGGATTTACATCTGAATGTTATTTCTGTTTTCATCTTGTTGTTTTGGATTTCGTAGACTGTGAAATGAAGCTAAAGAGTACAGCAGTACTCCTTGCACTCCGGGCTTAATAGAGCAATCATTCACAAACTGCTTTTTGATAGAATGCTATTATGTAGATATAGAGAGCTACTGGCATAAGAAGCTGTCATAGGAGGAGAAATGTTGGGCAACTAAATCTTACTATGAGTTGATTTAAGCACCTCTGAAAAAGACGCCTGGTTCTTACCTGACTCGAGGTGTGTACGGTGAGTTTTTTTCGTTAATACCTGTAAGTGAGTTTGGTATCCTTCAATGGCCTGGAAGTGCAAAGAACTCATCATGCTTTAGTAAAGTGCCAAGATACATGTAAGTAGTTTGTAAGGAAGTATGAGAGGCATAATTGAGCTCTGACTTTAAAAGTGTCTGCAGATGTCCAGCAGGACCTAGCATGTCAGTGCTAGTCTCAGATATAATTTTTCAAATTAATTAAGCTTTTAAAGCCTTTTACTTTTGAATAATAGCTGAAATATGATGCTTTTTAAAGAAGTAATTAGTATTTGTCATTGATTCTTCCTAAGGATTATGGATTACTCATGTACTTAATGCAGGAACTAAGAATTGGCCCTGGGATTCACATCGTTCACTTTCTGAGAAGACTGCAAATCTGTTCATGGATAAGGGAGGTAGTGCCTCTGAAGCTGGGTATCTCAGCACTGCAGGAGTCAGTCTGGCCCAGGGCACTTGAGTGGGGCCTGCAGTGCCCTTGCTGTTCTCAGCAGCCAAAAGCAAGTCACTCAAACTCTTTGCTGTATGGCTTTTATCAATAGGAAAGACTGGTTTACAAGGAAAGGCTAAAACCAAATTAACAAGTATTTGTAAAGATTGCTGTAAGTATTCACTGAAATGCATGTGAAACCACAAAAGCTGTGCAATCTAAGCTTCAAGATACTTACGTCTTGCAAATGTTTTAAAAACTACTGATCTTATGCTGCTTCATTGTGATATGAGGAGCAGGACTTGAGCAGTGAGTGGGATTGTTGGATGGAAATGTGAAGTTCCCATCTGTTGCTTTACCTTAAAGTACATTGTCAGAGTCTCCTTTCACTGTCCTGTAACATCTACACCAGCTTTGAACATTTGATGGTGTTGCTTGTAGGGAGAATCAGCTGAAATGAGTGAGATGGGAGAGGGAGAAAATATTATTGAATAGATATGTTAATCTCAGAATATAAATTTGTAGATTAATAGTGAATAACAAAGTTTCTTTGCTTGATTAAAAAATAGAAGTGAAAAATCTTTACTCCCAGTCTTTTATTCAACAAGAAAAGACAGTATACTTACATTTTGTCATTTAACAATTTTAGAGGTATGCAGACATCCTCTATCTGAAAATAATATGAAGTAAGTAATAAAGGTTGATTAGGGATCTGCAAAGAGGGTATTCCTTTTGCCATGTTGGTTTTCAAAGTGATGAATTAATTTTAAGTGGGAAAAGAGTCCATTAGTTTAAATTGGTGAAAACCACTTGTCCTGCTTGAAGCATTTAGCCTATGGGAACTCTCATTTTTAAAGAAACAGCGTGATTTTTTCTACTAACAAAAATCATAATGCAGCACAGTTACAGATATTCCTGCACTCTGTAGCTTCATGTATACGTGGACTGAGTAAATCATATTGTAATTTTTATTAACTTACTTCTGGCTTGCTGGCTTTTAAAAGTTCTAATTGGAAACTGTAGCTTTAATACATGATATATTCAACATCAGCTGCCGTCATCTACCTTAAATGTAGATGATCTCTGATGGTACTGACATATTGGTGAGGTAAAATCAGCAGGATTTCTGTCTCCCAAACTTCTGCCTTTTCCTCTACAGCTGTTCTGCCTGATGCTGCTAGTGTTTCCATGGAAACAAGCCAGCTCTTGGCTTCCTCTTCCCATTCAAAACAGCCTTCTTGCTGTCACTTATTCATCTGGGAAGAGCATTTTATCATGGCTTTGGCATAAATGCCACACCGATGATCTGTCTTGTCATTGCAGGAGCAAGTGCTGTTACATATGCACATGTGTGTACAGCTGAGATTGACCTCCAACCATTCTAAA